CAACGTCTCTGCTGCGGCTGCCTGGGGCCCACGGGGGAGCCTGCTGAGCCCCCACAGCCTCCCTCCATCCCCTGACCCCTCCAACAGACTCCAGCAGGGAGCTGCCAGGTTAGAAGGCTTAGATGCTGTGATGGAAGAGGGACATGAGGGGCAGAGCCTGCCCGAGGCTCTGGGACAGGGCTGTACCTTGGGCTGGTGCTCGATCTTGTAGGAGGTTTGCTGGAACTGGCGGATCTCCCTTATGATGTGTGAGATCTGTGCAGGGGTAAAACACAGGAGGTGCTCATGGCTCAGCCATCACCCAGAGAACCCGTCCCAGTGCCCAGGAGGGCAGGGGCACCCAGCACAGCACAATGCAGAGGCCTTTTGTCCCTTCCAGACACTGGGAACAGCCCCAGGTGTGTGCAGGGGACACAGGTGGCCTGCTGGTGCTGTGCAGGTGGAGGCTGAGGGGACACAGACCTGGCCACAGCCACATCGCCCCAGCCCAGCCCCTGGAACACTCACCATCCTCATTTTGGAGAAGTTCACCAGGCCATCCTCGGTGTAGTTGGGGGTGCCCTCCTCGATGAAGGCCAGGTCCGTCAGGTACATGCCCAGGTAGGGGACACACGGGGGGTCACAACTTCAGGAGTGAACCAGAAAGGAGTGAGGAGCAAAACTCCCTCACTTTGGAGGTTGGGGCAGGGCAGAGGAGAGGGGAACAGCTCTGCAGCCAGCAGAGGTGGAAGGATTCTCTCTGATATAGGAGGGCTGTCCCAGGGAAGGCTCCTGGTGTCCTGGGCCTCATCCCACCAGCACAGCAGGACAGGCAGGACCTGTGGCTATGCCCCTCACAAAGCCATGGGACACAAGCAGGAGATGAGATGGGGCAGCTTAGACAGCACAGAGGGTCAGGAAGACCTTTAGAAGCTCCCATGGGCAACCTGGTCTAGGGGAAGGGGGCCCTGCCCACAGAGAGGAATGGAACAGGATGAGCTTTAAGGTCCCTTCCAACCTAAACCATTCTGGGATTTGATGATTCTGTGACAGTGATGGGGAAAATTGTTCTCTGGTGCCTGGCAGTGATTTTCCCCTTTGCAGTCCCTTTTATTCCCATTTTTCCCCACGCTGCCCAAAGGAGCAGCTCAGTCCTGGGGATGACTGCCAGGCACTGTGCTGGCTCCACAGGGCAGCCTTCAGTGCAGGCTCTGAGCACCCCTGGGAGCAGAACTCAGCTCCCCCCGCCCTGCAGGCCCCAGAGCAGCCCTGGGGCAGGAGAAGAAGCACCACTCACTCACTTTTTCAGCGCCTCCCTCAGGTTCTTGAACCTGCCCTCCGACGACACCAGCTTCTGGAGCTTATCAATCAGAGCCTTGGTCTGCAAGAAACCAGAGTGCTGCTGGCAGGGCCCCTGGGAGAACCCCCACTCCCTGTGGCTGGGGGGCAGCCTGCAGAGCCACGGGGGCACTTCCAGCAGCTGTTCGTGTGCCCTGGCTGTCACACCTGGCTGCAGGTGAGCAGGCCTCACTGCCTCCACTGCTCCCACCTCTGCCCTCACCTGTTTTCATTCACAGGTTTCTCATTTCATAGCAAAAATGACTGCTGCTGGCTGGTGGGAGCCCACAGTGGTGCCAGCTCAGAGAGGTTTAACTGCACCTCTGCCTTGCAGGTGGGGACAGTGTCTTCTCACAGGTAATTAGTGACGAGACAAGGGAGAAGAGTTGTGTCAGGAGAGGTTTAGATTTAACACTAGGAAAATTTCTTAATGGCTGTCCAGCCCTGGCACAGCTGCCCAGGGCAGTGGTGGAGGCAGTGGAGGGATTTAACAGCTACGTGGATGTGGCACTTGGGGACAGGGGTTAGTGGTGGCCTTGGCAGTGCTGAAGGAACAGCTGGATTTGCACAGTCTCAGAGAGCTTTTCTAAGCCAAACAATCCTGTGTTTCCATGAATAACCACACTGCAGGGCAGGCTCTGCCTGTCCACCCACCACCTCCCTCCTGAGAACAACCTGAAACCCTTCTCCCCATTTCCTAACTCCTGACCCTGCCCCAACGCCCCGCAGCAAGCCCAGCTCCCTGGAGGGGCCGGCCCTACCTGCTTGGAGACCTTGAGCCACGTTTTCTTGAGGCGGAAGATGGCACTGCGGTTGAGGGAGGAGGTGATCTCCAGCACGGCGTTGTAGTTGTGCAGGCAGCGGCAGATGTCAGCCACCGCCACCCACTTCTCGATGGCGCTGGCGCGCGCCGCGATGTCCTCGTTGCGGATGATCTCCGAGGCGATCAGGTTGCTGACCTTGGGGAGACACAGCCC